TGCAAACGCAGCTTTCATATTCCTTTTGCAGACCCTGAGCAGTGAGAAGTGATTGGTTTGTGTTTACTTCCAAAGTAGTTTTCTGTTTATGTCCAAAGTACACACAAAGAGGAGCACAGAACAACTTAAAAAAACATTATTTGACATGACTTTCTCCAGTTAATATGAGGACTAGGACAGCTGTGTGGGAAATAGAAGAACTGGACAAAACCTTCTGGACCTCGGTAGAAAGAGTTTTGTTTTAGCAGCTTACCAGTTTAGCAACACACTATGCAGACAACCAGAAGATGCATGGGAAGGACTGTGATCCCCATAGCACTAGCAGTAGTCATCTTTGGTGAAGCATTTCTCATGAAAACTAGTTTTATAACACTAAAGGGGAGGCATAAAAGATGCAGCCTATAACACAGTTTCCAAACTGGGTAAGATCAGCTTTGTCCTTTAGAAAGAGATTAAAAAAAGTTATAGTTTAACATCTGTACAGATGTTACATGGTGTGGAAAGATTATGTAGCCATGCTCCCTCCAGACGGCAGCGTCTCTTTGAGGCGGGAGGGAGCATGCATCTGCCTTCCCCTGCGCGCATCAGTGCTGTTCTCATCTAACAATGGGAATCGTCATTCTCTTAAGCTCATACTGAAAGCTTTGAATAAAAGCCTTAAAAAGCTCAGCTGAAAGTATTAATTCTGAGAGAAACATGTAAATCTGGATGAAATCTTCCATTCATTTTTAATCTTGCTATGGTAAACCTTGTAATTAAGATGATTAAATGACTGAATAAAACCCTATATTTACATCCTTTAGAATACCACAATGAAAAGCCATAATCCTGTTTATGGAAAAAAGCAGTAGAGGCCTTTTAAAATGGAGACATCAAACAAAGCTTGTTATTTAAGCAGTCAGTAATTAATGAACCTCTTGCTTACCAAGGGTACCTAAGAGTTAACTGTCTAGGAAATCCATCTTGGAGAAAACACTAATGGGGGGATGAGGAAGAATCAAATGTTATGTTTATGGAAGAAAAAAAAAAGGATAAAATGTTATGTTTATGGATGATCAAGTTAGCCACAATTAATATGTTTCACAAGGGACAACTTAATGATTTGCAACAAAAAAATATTAGTGGAAAAGCTTCTAGAGTAGACACATTAAAATGCTACAGGACTCCCAATGAAGTCAGAGGCAGCATTTTTTTTGAGTGATGGTCCAGGTAGAGCAGGAGGTGCGAATCTGCCCGTGGCTGTTTGTCATAAGGAGACTGCACAAAATCCTTTTTGTTGAATGTATTTTCCTTCACCATTCTGAAAGAGGGGATAGCGTCTCTCCCAAAAAACTCCCTCAGCTATTTCTCAGCAAAGATGACAATAACTTAACAAACTCATTTATTAAAACCAAGAAATAATTCTCTCATCTGAATCTGCACTGCAAATATTCTGAATATATTTCAGGTGCACTTTTTTTTTTCTTTCTTATTTCCTCTGTAAAATATTTGGACAACAATCTAATGAAAACCTACATCAATAATCTATAAATATCACAAGTTTGTGTGTGTTTCTTTGTTTATTGCATTACCTCTTGATAATATATCACAGCATAAATAAACAGAAATCAAGTCTGTATACATATGAAACTTGTTTTCTGATTAAATTCTTGTCAAAAGAAATTAGTGTAGTATTTTTTCAGTCAGTGGTGCTTTGTAAAGACTCAGATTTTTCTAGAATTGTGTTCTGTAAGAATGGAATGTAGGTATTATTCAAACAAAAGTATTTACTTTATCTTCTATTTGAAAACATGTTAATAAACTTATATCTCTTTTAATATAGTGTTCTTTCACTAAGTCATCTTTCTTTTCCCACAATTACATCGTTGTTTTCTAAAAGTGCTCAATCCTGAAATTCTAAGGCAAGTTTAAAAGTAGTTATTCACTTTAGAGATTGAGGAATGGGATTCTGTTGAAGGACGAATTGCTTACAAGGTTGTGGAGAATGATTAGGTTTGATATTGTATCATGGATTTATCTCTTGAGATAAGTAAGTGAAAATTATTTCTAAAGGTGCTGATCAATGTGAATAAATCAATATAGCAGAGCATGCGGTGTTCATCCACAAAAAAATCTCTATCCTCAGAAACACCCCCATAAGTCATGGTCTTGTTAATGTTAGATGTTCACACATTTCAAACATGGTTTAAATAGTCTTTAGCTTAGATATATTGACTACAATAGATTAGTATTCACTTGAAAGTTTGTATCCCAGGTGATTTTAAGGGTCAAAATTTCTTAGGACTATTTAGAGGACAATACCATATTTGTAAATCACACACAGAAACTGAAATGGAGTATCCAGAAACTGAATGCTTTAAAAAAAAATTAAAAAATGTATTTTAGATGTTCCTGCACACAAATCCTTGAAGTTCCTCTGGTCTGCAAGAGAGTTTTGTAGCTGGAAGAGAAGTTTCATATTCACTGCTTAATTTCAGAATTGAATTCACACACTTCTCCCTTAAAGTTCTGCTTTTGTCCAAAATTATTTTTCACAAACTGACTCTGATCTGGCAGTCATCTTTCACAATCTTAGAATCATAGAATAGTTTGGGTTGGAAGGGACCTCTGAAGGTCATCTAGTCCAACCCCCCCGTCGTGGGCAGGGACATCTTCAACTAGATCAGGTTGCTCAGAGCCCCGTCCAACCTGACCTGGAATGTTTCCAGGGATGGGGCATCCTCCACCTCTCTGGGCAACCTGTGCCAGTGTTTCACCACCTTCAGCGTAAAAAATTTCTTCCTTATATCTAGTCTAAATCTACCCCCCTTTAGTTTAAAGCCATTCCCCCCTTGTCCTGTTGCAACAGGCCCTGCTAAAAAGTTTGCCACCATCTTTTTTATAAGCCCCCTTTAATTACTGATAGGCTGCAGTAAGATCTCCCTGAAGCCTTCTCTTCTCTAGGCTGAACAGCCCCAACTCTCTCAGCCTTTCTCCATAGGAGAGGTGTTCCATCCCCCTGATCATTTTTGTGACCCTCCTCTGGACCCGCTCCAACAGGTCCATGTCTTCCTTTTGCTGAGGGCTCCAGAGCTGGACATAGTACTCCAGGTGGGGTCTCAGCAGAGTAGAGAGTACAATGTCTTGTACCTTATTGCCAGGACTTCGTGGAATGATTTATTGTTGAAACATCATCAGGTGTGGAATTTTTTGGAAGGCCCATGGAGGTAGCTCTCCCCTTTTCTGGGAGACTCCAGCCACTGTACTAATACCATTTGCAGTCCCATTGCACTAATACCATTTGCAGTCCCATTGCAGTACCGCAAGGACTTACAGCCCCTCAGTATTTTGCAAGTAGGGAGCTGGAGGGAAATTGCATGTGATTCTGCATTACACGGTGAACAAAAGAGAAGGAGGCCGAGTCCCCTTCCCATTCACATGAGGTTGTGTTTACATCTGCATATCAATGCAATTTTTCAGCTTTCAGTGATTACTCCTCTACACTGCAGAACCTTTCTTGGCATAGCTATGGTGACAAAATTATGCCAACAGGGGCTCAAAATATTTTTCTAGAATTAATTTTCCTGCTGGCATAGCATACCAGTGCTCAAACAATATAAACTAAACCAACCAAACGGTGTCTGTGAACACAGTAGTTTCCACAGCAGGGGTTTTGCTGGCCCACCGACGGAAATGAGAGATACCAGTTTTTCACCATCAAAGGCAATGTGTGTATTACAGTAGAACATTGCATTGGAATCTGTCTAAATATAATTTTAAAAGCATAATTTTAGGGAAAAATTTATAAGCAGTTTGATGACATATAAGGTGCATTTTGTGGAATGACAGCTGTTACAAGGCATATGACAACTTCACTATTGATGCCCATCTATCCTTACGCTCTCAGTTTGTTTGGGGAAATCAAATTCAGCTGTGGTGTTGAAACTGCCCCTCACTTTTTCTGCCTACATCTTTTCCCTCCCAGTTTACTTATCATAATCAAGTCTTAACATCATGCACTCAATTCTATCACATAGAGACTGTAGTGTCAATCTCAGAAAGACATTATAAAGGCAACCATGACAAGGGAATGTATTCAGAAGAGAGAAAAACGTAGAGATGACCAGAAGATAATAAGCATTAATTACATTGATAGTTGTAACACAGTAATAACAATCATTCCAGAATAAATAGAAACTGAACACATCTCTCTAACAGAAACCCAGAGATGTTATTTTCTGCATCTCTTCCCTCTGCAGTCTGACTTTTTCCAGGGCTCAGATTTGGACGAAGAAAAAATCCCATCAGTACAGACCTCATTTCCTGAAGGGGAAAAGGATAGGCTATACTGCATCTATTGAAAAACAAGATATTCTGTCTAGCATCATGTCTCCAGGTGTTATATGGTATGCAAATATAAAGATGTACTTAGCTATCTGCAGACATTGC